CTCTCCTCCCGAGCTGCTGCTCGCGGTATACTGAGACGCTGAAGCGGATCCCGACAATTGTGCCGGGATCCGCCCAGCTGAGTGACTGACAGCTGGCTCTGCCTATCTAAAGGCAGAGCCAGCTGTACCCTCCCCCGTCCGTTCCGCCAGTCAGCGCTGGCGGATCGGAGGGGGGAATCCAGCCCCTCCCCTGTCACGGCAGGGAGCTGTGACAGGATCGAGAGGTGAGCGAACGCTGGTATGTGTTTGCTCACCTCCCGATCTACTGAGCCGACCTGTGACAGTCTCATTGTCACAGGTCGGCAAGAATTATGAGGTGAGTGAAAAGCACTCACCTCATAGCTTCTATACTGAGTGTTCCTGTCCATTCATACATTGTGGATATAGTGTAAATTATGTTCACAATCAGGAATGAAAAGGAAGTGATGCAGATCACTTCCTATTTATTCATAACTGGGACACAGTATGCATACTATGTCCAGTTATTTGTTTCTTTTTTAGCAAATGCGTTAATTGAAAGTATTTTAGCAGTAGTACAGGTTATGCAGTGTTATCAAAGTCATGAATCACAACAGTAGACACAAGTCGTACAACTCATGAGCAAAGAGCAATGGATCAGATATTTAAATCACAAAGTATACATGTACTGTTAGTACAACAAGGGGTAGAGATATAAACCCAGAGAAAATGCACAAAATTAAAAGATTACAGAGCAATACAGAACCAGAGCATCTATAGCAGAGGTATGCAGTATAAATGTTTTCACATTGGGGCAGGAAAATGCTTTAAGAACTAGTGGATGTAAAAGGTCTAAGATGTATATGGTGGAGGGTCAGAATTGGTTTAAAAACTCAATGGGATGTTGGGTAAGGGGGCCATGAATTCTGCCAAGCGGGCTCGATAGGGCAAAGTTACATGGTGGGCAAAGAGCAGTTACCCCTCTATCCAGTTATTTGCAAACACTGAATAATCAGCCGATTTTGTATACCACTCTCCATCCTGATTTGGCTGTGACACACGCACCGCTCGGCATCCTGCCAGCTGTCGCCGCCTGCTCAGCCTCCTGAAAGCTTCTCTCCTCCCCACTGGGTGCCGGCCGCTGCATCAGAAGGCACATGGAGCGGTGCCTAGCAGGGAGGAGAGAAGCTAGGGATTCACTGAATTTTCATCCGCCATGGTACTTTGCCAAAAGTGCCAATTTCAGCCGAAATGTTTTGGCGACCAATATTTCAGTGCATCCCTAGTGAAAGACAAGTCTTGAACATATAGGTCTCAATAATTGTAAACTTGAGTTGATCACTGGGGCTAGAACCGTGTTAAGAAAATGGATATTGTTGTGTTGATATTTAGTATGAGGATTGACATAATTTCAAAATTATCACTACAGCCTAGAACAGATCCAGCATCAGTTGTTTCTGTGTCTGGAGATTGTTGGAAAACTGCTGCTCTTTTATTGACTCCCCCTTCTTTCCCCATTTGTGCTTCTCCTTTTTCTTTTTCTTCTCCTCCTTCTCTCCCCACTGTGTGCCCCCTGACTTCATTGAAGGGTATTGCAGAAGGCACATTTCCTGTTTAGTGATACTCATCCTCCCACTAGACCCACTGAGCATCATAGATATACCACCTGGGCTACAAAAAAATTCTGTCACTTCTGCTTTGGCTCTTGTGGTGCACACAATTACCATAGAGCCAGTTTCATCTAGATGAGAAATAATCCACCTCCATTTGTACACTGAATCCAGGGACTCAGGAGTTCCTCTGCAGCAGTTGGTGAACTGCTCAAACGATTGCTTGCACAGTGTAATTTGCACTTCAAATTTAAGTAACAACATCTTATTTAATCTGGATGAGCAAGGGTTATCTGTAGAAAGACTCTGTTTCCTTATACATATTGAAGAAACACCTCTTCTGCTGTCGGTGTACTAAATGTTGTGTTGTTTTTGTGCATGGTGTTGAAGTGACCCAGAAAGAAATAGAGCCTGTCTCATTTCCAGGCTGGAGGACGTCCAGCATCATCTAGTGCTTTTTTTCCCCAGGATTACATCCCTGTCTCACTTTTTTTATTCATTGGATTTCACTTCTTTTAATGATGGATGCTCAGCACCACATGTGAGCATTACCGAGGGCAGTCTACAAGCAATTACTGCCTGCCTAGCAATGCCCACTCCTCATGATTGACTTCCACAGATATGGTAATTTCCATATTTGCACAACTTCTCTCAATAGCCACCTTCCTGCTGATATCAGAAGTGAGGCCTCTTGGGGGGAGTACTGAGGGAGGAGGGTGCCGAGATGTTTAAGTAAGCTATGAACAGCACCTTGCCAGCCCACCAGCCAAATTCTGCATGGATTGGCAAAAATACAAAAAAGTCTGGATCAACACTACTATATGTTGAATATAAATATTAGCAGAGAGCTCTACTGGAGTTAAATGTAGTATCCAGAAGAAACCTATGTAGACATTCCATGTACATACAGATTGTGGTAGGAATTGTACTCAGGACCCTTGTCCTATAAGGCAAAAGTGCTAACCACCTTACAAACTATGCAAAATACCTGCCCTTTCATAAAAACCTAGAAACAATTTCAGAAATCAGTATCAAAGTGATAATAAATCAGAATGGGCCACAAAAAAAGCTAATAAAGGTAAAAGCATGCTTCTTGAAGTGTCAGGTTTTTGAAAGGACTTTTACATCTTAAAGTTTAAAATGGAATGCATTAAGGCATTATTAGGTACAAAATACTTTTATGTTCATGACTACATTTTACTTAAAAGAACATGTTTTAAATGTGAATCTTTATGATTTTCTTTTTAAGGTCCAGTTCAGAACCCTTTGATTTATCCACCAGTTGGACAGAATTACAGTACAGTTCCTGGCTCCTATCCACAGCAAATACCAGTGAAAGCACCTTCGCAAGCAGTTGCTGGACTGTATAGTTATGGTGGTCCTCAAACTATTCCTCAGGCTGCTCCACTGCCAGGAAATGATCAGGGATCTGGACAAACTGTTAGTAGACCACATATGGGGACTCTTCCAGTGGCACCTCCACCAAATACTGCATCTGCACCAAGAATTCCACTTCAGAACTCATATGGATCTCCTTCAACCCTTGGCAGCAGTGTTCCACAAGTGACACAAGCAACACAGCCAAACTGGCAGTATTTTCCAACACCATTAAGTCATGCGCAGTCTCTAGCAAATCATGCACCATCCACAACGGGAATGGTCCCAGGGTCACCGTCAATGCTGGCTAATTCAAAGCCTCCAACTACACAGCAGTATGGACCTCCCTTCGGTGGCCCCCCTCTTCAAAACAGTTTTATGAGCCCAGGTAAACCTCGGTTATTTAAAAATGTCTTATTTTCTTCCATTAGAAAACTGGAGCTTATCTTAACCACTTGAAGACCAGTGTTTACACCTCCTTCCTGTCCGGGCCATTTTTCAGTATTCAGCACTGTGGTACTTAGACATTTATTCTGTCATGCAACGCTGTACTGAAATTAATGATATACCATTTTTTGGGGGCAGATAGGGCTTTCTTTTGGTGCTATTTAATTACCACTGTTTAATTTTTTTTACTATATAACGAAACAATTGCTGGAAAATTTTGAAAAAGAAAGGTTTCCCTTTTTTATTATGTTATGAAAGCTTTATTACCCAAATTTTTGGTGAAGTATAAAAGATGGGGTCACGTTGTTGAAATAGACACCAAACACGTCAAGCTTTAAAATTGCGCCCACTCGCGAAATCGCAACAAACGCACCCAAAGGCAATGCTTTATACGCTTTTACTGCTCATCAGTTTAATGTTAACAGTGATTGATGGCCCTAAAACTATTGCTCACAATCTGACATTCGCGATATGTAACATGTGCAGCGTAATGGGTGCAATCATCGTCTTTCCACGTAGGCACGCTTTTTTTTTTTTTTAAACTTAAGCTTATTGCCATCACATAGGGGGCTAAGAAGCCCCTTTATGTGGTATCAAATTACAATGACAGGTCCTTTTTTATGGAGACATCAGGGGTTCCTAAGACCCCTAATGTCACCTAGGGACCCCCAAAGAAGCTGATGTAGCAGAGACCTGCTTCACCAGATTCCCTCTGGCTTCTGTAGTCAGAGAATGACAGCTGAATGCGGAAGTGATGAAATTAACATCAATTCCGCATTCACAACACCGCAGGGGAGATCATGTATCTGGGCCCGCATGCAGCACAGGGGGCCTGGGATTGGCGGCGGAGGGGGCACACATAGGCACAACATAGAAGTGGTTAGGCGGATATCCAGCCGCCAGACTGCTCGTATGTAAACAAGCTGGCTGTTTCAAATTTTAACAGTTTCCCACTCGTGGGCACAGGGTCGTTTTTAAAATGCCCACCTGCATCTGGAAGGTGTTTATGTACGGCTGGTGGGCAGCAAGTGATTAAATGTCATAGGTTGCTGACAGCGGGCCCCTTTAAACAGACTGTTTAAATGTGTAAAGCCGACTGTCAGGTTTAAACTGGAAGCCCTTCTGGAGGCTTATTTACTGTCAGATCACTGCCAGGGGCTGCTGTAGTGTGGAATTCTCCTGTCCTCCTGTGGACAGGAACCGGCATCACTGATTTCGGCGGGGAAGGAGACTTTGTAAGCACCCCTGTGATGGCAATTAAGTTGGGAAATATATATATTTTTTAAATTTAAATAAAATTTTAAAAATGAAATTAAAAAATAAAATGTTTTAAGGCCCCTGCAAGCACTCACATTTTAATGTAAACATGCGTTGGGTGCGCCTACATACAAAAATGACAATTGCGCTACACATACAATACATTGGGTATTAATGCGTACGCCAGAGTCAAAGCAATAATTTTAGGGCCAATATTCACAGTTGACTCTAAACTGATGACCTGTAGGGGTTTTTAAAGCATCACCTATGGACAATTTGGAGTACTATATTTTATCACCATTTCATGGACGCACAAAATTTTTAACCTGGGCATGTTTGGTATCCTCGTCCTAACCCCCTTTTATATTTTACAAAAAAATTAAGTAAAATATTGTTTTTGCACTAAAATTAGCTTGTGTATTTTTTACAAAAAATTTGGGTTTGGTAAAGAGTTGCGCTAATATCGTGTGATGTAAAAATGTGCAACTGCCACCATTTTATTCTGCAGGGTCTTTACTTTCAGAATAATAGATGGATGGATATGGAGATGTATGGATAGATATAGAAATGGATAGATATGGAGTAGGGCTGCAACAACTAATCGACTAAATCGATTATAATCGATTTACTGAAAAAAGTTGTCAACGTTTTCAATCATCGATTAATCGGCTTCCAATTAGTTGGCCCTGTTCACGACTCCACACACGCTGCGTGCCGCACATCCTCTCCACCTCACGCTCGCCGCTGCCAAACCCACCCGCATCCAAATCCACGCGCATCCAAATCCACGATCGGCACAGGAACGGGGGGAGAAGTAAGGAGGAGCAGGTGTGGGGGGATGACAGCCACCGATACAGGCCCAATCTCAGAAACAAGTTGCTGGAAGACTGCTCAAGTAAGCCTGCACTTTCCCACACATGGTGCTCTATAATGTATTGCTGGGATTTGTAGGCCTCTATACAGCGCAATGCGGAATACCACCAGTTAGAGGTGTACAACAAATCCCAGCAATACATTATACATACAGTGTACAATGTATTGCTGGGATTTGTAGGCCTCTATACAGCGCAATGCGGAATACCACCAGTTAGAGGTGTACAACAAATCCCAGCAATAATGCATTATACAGTGGTGCAATGCAGAATACCACCAGCTATAGAGGACTACAAATCCCAGCAATAATACATTATACAGCGCAATGCGGAATACCACCAGTTAGAGGTGTACAACAAATCCCAGCAATAATGCATTATACAGTGGTGCAATGCAGAATACCACCAGCTATAGAGGACTTCAAAACCCAGCAATAGTACATTATACAGCGCAATGTAGAATGCCACCAGCTATAGAGGACTACAAAAACCAGCAATAGTACATTATACAGCGCAATGCAGAATACCCCAGCTATAATGTACTATTGCTGGGATTTGTTGTATTCCTCTACAGCTGGTGGTATTCTGCATTGTACTGTATAATGTACTATTGCTGGGATTTGTAGTCCTCTAGCCGGTGCCATTCTGCATTCATTGCTGTATAATTTTACACTTTCCATTTCACTATATTGCACACTACTTTTTTTTTTTTTTTCTTTTTTACTTCCACTGCTCCTGTGATGGACTACAATCTCAATACAAATTAGTAGTCCCATCACTGGAGCCATTTTTTTAACATTTTATTTTGTATCTGATTAATCAAACTTAATCGGCCAACTAATCGATTTTGAAAATAATCGTTGGCTGCAGCTCTAATATGGAGATAGGTAGGTAGATATGGAGATAGATATTTTGGGGGTGTTGAGTAATTTTCAGGCCTATAATGTGGAATATTACATGTATGCAAAAAAATGCATTGGCAGTGATATGTTGCAGTGACCATTCACAATTTGCTTTGTTCAGACTTGCTATCAACCTGGTCACATGTTCTCTGATTATGCTATATTTCACTCTGCAAACCTAAAAACCATTAAACGTTAACCAAAAAAGTTACTACTAATACCACAACTGACTTTGCATTTTAATGCAGAACTCCGGGGAAAAAACTCTTAACCCTTGCAGTGTGTGGGTAGCTCCACACAGTGTTTGGGTCTAGGTTAAAAAAAAAGTTATGCTTACCTGATCCTTAGAGCCGGCCGGCTCTTATACTGGTCCCTGAAGCCGCCTTCTGAGCTGCAGCAGTTTAAGGATCCTCGAGTCATCACGTTCTACACTGTAAGGATGTAAGGACGTTGGGGGACAGAGCATCAATGGAGGGAACACTGATCCAATGTTTGGGTGAGTATAACTTTTTTTTTTTTTTTAACCCAGACACAAACAAGCACTTCAAATAGTATTATACCCTAGTTTTTTTCTTTTCTTTTTTTCTGTCCTTTTTCGGAAATCCACTTGTCCATTTCATTAATTTTTTCAACTTGATGTACCACGGGCCCCTCCCTTCCTGTTGACAGGTGTCTTCTTTGCCTAGCGGGTTACAAAGGAGTCACCCGTGCATGCCCGATTCTGGCTGGGAATTGAGCTGTGCTGTGTGCATCTATTGATGCACACAGCACTCGACAAGCCACACCCTTGTTTCTACCTCTACCCTCCTCGCAATATTTGAACAAGCCGGTGCAGCAGCTTATCTCTGCCATGCTCTCTGTGGCCAGCAGATGGTCATAGTGTAAATGTTTGGAGGTGGGGGGCATAGAAAGCTAGCAGGGTGTTTTTTACCTTAACCCCTTCATGACAGGCCCTTTTTCCATTTTTTGCACCCATGTTATATTCCACATTTTAGGCCTGAAAATTACTTAAAACCCCCAAACATTATATATTTTCTGAATGCCAAGACCCTATAGAATAAAATGGTTCTAGTTGCAAATTTTTATGTAGCGCAATATTAGTGCAACTCCTTATTAAACCCCAAAATTTAGTGACAAATTTAATTAAATGCCCCAGAACACAATAAAATACCCATTTTTTAATGAATATAAAAGATGAGGTTACAACGAGTAAAACGATACCCAACATGCCAACATGCCCAGTTTACAAATTGCGTGCGTCCGTGAAACGGCGAATAACTGCAGTACACCAAAAAGTCCATAGACGCTTTAAAAGCCCCCACAGGTCATAAATTTAGAGATGCCCTAGAAATATTCCTCTCACTCTGGCGTGCGCGGCGATACCCAACATGTGTAGCGATGCAATCTGCATCGCTCCCGGTCCCATAGAACGGGGATCGACCAAGGACGCCGGTCCCGGGCCTGTTGGAGGGGCAACGGAGCCCGGGAAGCACGACGGGTGTGTCCAGGAAGGGGGGGCCCTTCTTCGGGACACAGAAGCGATCTGGCGACAGGTAAGTCGCCAGAATCGCTTCTGTTGTAAAGCCGGCAGTCGGCTTTACAAGTTTTGGTGTTGTTCTGTGTTGCTCTGCATAATGTACTATTGCTGGGATTTGTATTCCTATATTGTGGGTGGTATTCTGCATTGCGCTGTATAAGTATTATACAGCGCAATGCAGAATACCAGCAGCTATATAGGAATACAACAAATGCCAGCATTAGTACATTATACATACAGTGTATAATGTATTGCTGGGATTTGTAGTCCTCTATAGCTAAGTCTGTGAGGCGTGGAGATGCGGCTTGCAGTTGTCACATGCCGCGCCCGCCTGACACGACCGGTCATGTGTGGAGCAGGCTAACCCGAACAGGCTAACCTATCGATAGCCGACTAATCGACGATGGAAAACATTGACAATGCTTTCTATCGTCGATTTTAATCAACATAATCTATTAACTGTTGCAGCTCTAATTTCCTCCCCCTAATACAGAGGATAAAAATGGATCTCCATGACTGGACCCGACCTGGCATTTTCCTGGACGGGTAGATGTAATGTCATAAAGCAGAATGTCCTACCTAGACTGTTATACCCCATACAGGCACTCCCCGTCTTGATTCCCAAATGATTTTTCGCTTCTATCCGATCCCTGATCTCGAAATTCGTGTGGGGCTCTAAACAGGCCAGATTGCGACACTCCATGCTGCGCCTTCCCAAAAGCTGTGGGGGGCTAGCGCTCCCCGACATACTGTATTACTATGAGGCTGCCCAGTTGGCTCGCATTTTGGATTGGTGTCGTCATGCTACACAGAAACCGTGGGTGGCCGTGGAGCAGTCCTTCTCCACGATCCCTCTTAGGACACTTCCTTGGTGCACCAAAATTCCCCAGGCTCTTCGGTCTCACCCGACGCTGGGCCCTACATGGAAGACTGCACGCCTTCTCTTTGACACTACACACCTTTCCCCCTGTCCTTCCTCACTTCTCCCGGTGATGGGCTCTCCCGACTTCACTGCGGGAATACAGGATCCCGCATTCTTGCAGCTGGGGGAAATCGGCTCTTTGTACTTCATACTTGTTATGCTCAATTAAAGAAGAATAAAAATAAAAAAAAAAACCTCATAGTTCGAGCCGACGTGTGACAATGAAACTGTAACGCGTCGGCTCAATAGATCGGGAAGTGAGCGAACACACAGTCGCTCGCTCAGTTCTCGATCATGTCCCTGCAGAGAGCCGTGACTGTCACTCACGGCTCCCCGCAGGGATTCCCACCTCCCCTCTCTGATCCTCCAGCGCTGACTGGCGGAATGGATGGGGAGGCTCTGCCTCCAGATAGGCAGCCAGCTGTAATCACGCAGCTGGGTGGATCTCGACAGTAATGTCGGGATCCGTCCCGGCTGTAGCGGTCTCAGTATACCGCGAGCTGTAGCGGTATACTGAGCTTTGGGTCACGGGAGGACGCTAGTTTGTGTCCTCCCGTGACCCTTAGAACTATGGGGAAAAACACTCACCCCATAGTTCTCCTTTTAATGCAAAGAATGCATTAAGATAAAACAACAAATAGCCTTTAATACTACTTTAACTCTTGCAGTTCGGGGATAGCCCCACTGCAAAGGTTATGAAATTTATGACTAAAGCCTGGCAGTTTTAATGTATGCTATTTCGTTGTCTTAACCCCTTCTGAACTGGAGAAGCTAACCCTTTTTCTAGTGCACAGAGAGAGGGCTATAATCGGAAACAATCTTCAGTGACACGTGCTTCCTTTTTTTCAATGAGCAGTACATGTAAACAGTATTGGTCAAATTAACATGCAATATATTGAAATGTGGGCTGCAAAAGTAGACTAAACTTTAGATTAGGAGTTCACGTGTGCATTTGCTTGTTAGTTGAAAATCTCCAGTGTACTTCCCATGCTGTCCTTGGGAGGGACATAGACACCAAAAGAAGTCTGAAAGGGATTCTAACCCTTTTTGTTATTAAGTTATGAAAGTGAAATGTCGTTTTGACTCTGCTTACATGAAAAAAGTATTTTTGTATAATATATATGTAGCTTTCTGTAAATGCATATGTGAAGACTGTATTGGTTTGCATTAGACTACACCTGATTTGCATTGTAAATGCTTTAAACAGCTGTTGTCCTGAAAATGTTTTCCAGGTCCTACTTCACCACCAATGAGCCAGTGTGAGCCAGTCCGACCACGTTTAGGGCCTCCTCCCACATCATCCCCTTCTTTGACAAGACACTCAGCACCACCTTCTGGTCCACATGTCAGCACCCCACCTGTGCCTCCTTTAATTAGTGCTCCACCCAGAGGGGATGGTAAGTGTGTTGGTCTTTAAAGTTGTTAAATTCCACCTGTGGTTTTGGCGCAAACAGTACGTTGCAACCGTTCCACATATTAACCGTTTAATGTTTGAAGAATAATGTTAAGGGACATCATGAAATAGACTGTTAACCATTGCAAGATTTTATTAATCTGGTTCTTGTGCATTAAAGTAGATGTAAACTCACTTTGTATCATAACAATTGCTGTTGCTTTTTTCAGAAATTATGGATTTCCCTTTTTTTTTTTTTCCCTTTTTTTTTTTTTTCCTCCCCCAGCCCTCCAGACATGGTGTTTCCCAATACATATATATTGCACTAAATGATATGTTTCCATGAATTACTAGTTAATCCAACTTTTCTTTATGAGTTGAAACTAGTTATTTTTAGTGCAAATAAAACCTAATGCCTTGATGATCTATATGAATTATGCCTCGAAAATATATATGCGTACATCTATAGTTTCTTTTTTTAAAAATTTTGGTTTTCCCTTTTTTTTTTTTTCCCTTTTTTTTTTTTTGCCTCCTCAGAGCTGCTAATCTCCTCTAACTTTTTTCAGTAACTTCCAGTCTACCTTCTCCTTTTATTTAACAGAGTAATTTGTGGATTTAATCTTAATTTAGTACCTTAGAGGTCCACTTTTAAAGAAAAAATGTGGGTTCAACTTTGACTTAAAGGCTACATACAAGTGATCTCGGTGACACCGCCGAGATCACTTATAAACAAACAAGCGGCTTCACTTATGTACATTTAGCCCTGTTTGCCCGAAGCATGGCTAAAAGTAGAAAACAACTACCCACCCATCGGGAGATAGGAATTGCACATCCCTGCCGCCCCGAGGCCGGGCCTCGTTTGGCCTTGTGGGGAATCCGGCCCTGCAGCTAGGTCCTGTGCTTACTCTGTATGTGCACCACGTTGGCTAGTCATTCTAGCAGCTAGTTGTACTCCTCTGCGTGTACTGGCTGGGGGCTGCCATTAGTACAAACAAGCCATAAGAACGAATGGGCTGAGCAGTGTGCATGCCTGTACCTCACTTATGTTCCTTTACATTATGGTTTATACTAAATCACAGCCATGTTAAAATATTTTAAATAGCTTTCAAAATGTCTTGCTGCAAATCGGGAAAATGTGGTGTTTTTGAAATTTGCAATTCAAGAATAACTGAACTCTTCAGTTGTATTGCAAAACTGCACCTTTCTCCTTCACACTGTTTGAGTCATGTAGCTCAGTGATAACCAGTTCACTAGTGATTTTGAAGTTTGCAAATCATGTTCCGTTAATTATTGCATTCGTAAAGCTTCAGGGAACTTGGAATATGATATAGCTCATGTAAATGCCTAATGTGCTCTTGGCTGAATCTTCTGGGTCTGCTCAGACTAATTTTAAATATTTGCAAATATGTGCCCATTATAAACAGGGTAATTTTTGGAGAGGGTGCAGGTTGTTTTTTTAAATATATAATGGGTGGAATTTATCAAAGCAATTGCAACAGTTTTAGCCTCTTAGATAATTTTTTTTAATGTGCAAATATGTCTTTCAACATGTGCCCCTGTTTTGACCTGAGCTTGCACTACTTTTCCAACTGCATGTGTTTTGCACCTGTTTTCATCAGAGCTTGCGCTACTTGTTCAGTTGCATGTTTTTTTGCACCTGTTTTCATCTGCACTTGTCCTGTGGCTGTCTAAAACTGGAGCATCACCTAAGAAAACAATCACAACTTCAGAAGTCCCCATGACCACTTCTTCAAGATGCAACAGTTAAGCTTTTTGCCTGGAGTCTATTAAACCTCATTTATCAACATTACACTAGCATCATAAATCTGGGGCAAATATATTCCGCGCAAGTTCAAAAACTCATAATTGCTTTGATAAATTCCCCCCAATGTATTTTTTGTGCCTGTATGTGCATGAAATAATGTTACTTTTGATGTGATTTATAGCGAACATGGGCAGCAGAGGACTTGAGGTAGCAAGGGTGTGTCATCAGCACTGCAGACATTTGAGGTAGCACATGGGATCTGGAAAATTAAGTGGGTTATTTGAGGGGACTACAATATGTCATGTCTTCTGGGAAGAGAAAAGATGTGTAATGTATTATAACAATGAATGATATGGTATTAGTGGACAGGGCCCATTAGTCTGTAGAGTGGGTTGAGATGTGGCTGTCAGTCTGGGGCTTGGTTGGCATTCAATCTACTTATATGTACATATTCACAAAGAGTTAAAGTATGGCCTCAAGCAAACTGCCAAAAACAGTTTAGAAGCTCATATGTTTTCTTTTTTACCTGCCAAAGGATTATTAGTACAGCAAGTCTTGTGATATTCTGCAGATAAATGTGGACATGGCAATAGTTCACTGTTGCTTCGATCAGTTATCTTATGTGGATGCAGGAATTGAAGCACCACACCAATGAAAATAGTCTAGATACAACTTTAATCCACTAGAGTCGGGGAACAATCGTGTAGAATACCCAACAGTTACTGCGAAACCAGCTGCTCACAAGCCAGAAGCCTCCCCATCACAGCTCAATACAAATCTCAAGCTGCAGAGATTGTAGTCCACATACATGATTTCTCGAAGCACGATAAAGGGGGTGTTTTTGGACCCTGAAACACACTGGCTATTCGACTCGATTGTCCTCTGACCCTAGTGGAATAAAGTTGCATCTGGACTGTTTCAATTGATGTGGTGATTCAATTCCTACATCTACTGTGTTCACTGTCAAGCCAAGGATACTGTGGAAACCCTAAGGCCAGTGATAGCTGCCTATCCATTAGCCAGATTACACATTTTCATATCACTTAACCACTATTGGATGACAAAAACAGAATAATCACACAGGTCCAGCGCTCTTTCCACTTCCAAATATTCGCGCCATATGTTATCTTTTGTCTGTGGGTAACTTGTATTTGAGCCCAGGCTGATTGAAAATAACATACAGAAAACCACTAGCAGAATCTGCAGGCATGCATACAAATTGCACAATAAAGATTAATAAATTTAGAAAATCGCAGCATAAACTACTTTAGAGTAATTTTATAATATGTTGGAAACTTGCTGCAAATACACTATAAGTTGTGTATAATGGCTAATTGCTTTATATCTACATTTGAATGTTCTCTTACCTGAATTATTCAATTTAGGTTTATTTTCTTTAGTTTTCTGCTTATTCTTATTGGTTTTCTTATATTGATGTTTTCTTTGGACGACTTGAGTAGCGTTGCTTTACCTATGGAGATGGCCTTCGATTTTAATTTATACAAAGTAATGGTGGTGAGCGTTGTCATACTGTAAACCTGCATTTTCTTTGCACAAAGCTGACGTGAAGGATATTGAATTAAAAGCCGTGTTATACGTATCTGGCAGGTGATTTGCTACAAATCAGCCATTCACTGCCTGACATGTAAAATCCCTAGGTCCCTTGCTTAGAAGTTCAAATCTGTATGGTCTCAGAAGACAGGCTAAACCCCTAGAGCTGCTGTATATTGCTTTTATACCTCAGCCTGAGGCTTTTTCTATTACACTGTTTAAGCTGTTAGTACTGGGAGCAAGTGCAGTTAGTATACGTACAGTCGGAGTACTTAGATCATCTGCCAAGCCCTGTCCCTTTGCATATAGATTACTTTTAAAAGGTATGGACTAAGGAGTTTGTTACTTTTGTTTATTGAATGCGACCTCCTATGCTTCTCTTTATAGCTGCTGTTATATTGTAATATATTCTTTTTATAGACCTTGTAAGGAAAAACAGCCTAAGTTATTTAATATGTTCATCACCCTAACCTTTACCAAAGTAGCAGAGCTTTATATGATGGCTCTTGTCAATGTCCAATTTTTTATGTGTTAGTTTTTTAGCCGCATATAGACCGGTCACTGTTGAACGATTTGTGTGCTTTAGTTAAAAGAGAAATTGTGCAGAATATGTGTGTGTGCATGTTTACCAAGAGGTCTAACTTTCTGTGTTATGGAAAAGTACAGTGTGGGGAATGGGCATTTCCATCCATGATTTGTATGGGGCAGTGCTGGAACGTTCCTCATGCATAAATAGTAATTGCTTCAGCCTGCAACATCCACTTAAAATTCAGGTTTTTCTGTCAGATGTTCATTTTGAAGAAGTGATGAGTTGCTAGGAATGTTGTAGGTGACTGGTAATCTGTGGTCACTTTGTTACAATATTTAATTATGTTAGAGAGGGATAGTATGGGGAAAATATATTATATGATGGATGGTTGGTGTCTTGGAAAGTTGTTTAAAGTGTATTTCCAAGTTTGCAGTCAAATTTGAAAAAAAAAAAAAAAAAACCTCCTCCTATATGTTTGTGTACTCATTCACAGCATAACAAAAAAGAATATTTTTACAAATATTTCTTACCTTTTTAGATGTTTTGTAGCAGCTGCCAACATCACTGACACAGCACCTTCACAAATGATCTGTCCTTATAGAAATACCTAAGACTAAAATTTGAGGATTGTGTTTCTCTCATAAACTTCATGAACATTTGAATGCACAAGCCGGGTTTGTAGTCCTTTTAACCCTGTGTCAGGACAGGCAGCTTTCAAGTCCACTTTCCAAATCTTAATGAAATGAGCCAGCACAGTACAGACAGGTCAACAAACCCCTCCTAACATTACAAAGAAGCAGAGAGTAGACATTTTAACCATTAAGTAGAAACTGTGTAACCTAAGTAAAAGCAATTTACATTGTGGAAAGCATTTTTTTTTAATTATATGTAACAAATATAAAACTGGTGTTATCCCAATTTGGCTGCGAAATTGGAAATATGTTTTAAATGATCGCTTCAATGGGAGTGCCTGAGAAAAAAAAAAAGCACATTTAAAAAAAAAAAAAGAATTTACCTAGTAACTAAGTTTGCATTGGCAAAAAAAATAATAAAATAAAACACTCAAGCCTGAAATGCTTGCAAAAACACCTGCGCAAAAGCTAAAAACGTCTGTAAAAACAACCAAAGATGCTCATGTGTGAACGAGGCCTCAATGTTGAAA